CTTTGTAGTAGGTGCTCTAAATAAATAAATAGATGATTTTTGAAGTGTTATGTTTTATCTAAATGTAGATATTTTGATCTAAATCAAACATCAGACAAAATGAACACTTGTCATTCTGTGAGTTCAATAATGCATTTTTTTCAAGAAAGCAAGGATGCATTAAATTTATCAAAAATTATAGTAAAGACATTTATAATGTTACGAAAGGTTTGTATTTCAAATAAATGCTTTTCTTCAAAATTTCTGTTCATCAAAGGATCATAAAAAAATGTATTGCCGAAAATTAATCAAACTAATCAAGTTCAAAATTGAATATTCTTGAGATACTGAATTTTTCATTTTCCTAAGCTGCAAGTCGTAACCATCAGAATTAAAACATTTTCTTGAAATATTTCAGTTTGTGTGCAATTAATCTAGATTATAAGAAAGCTTGCTTTTTTAAAATTAAATTACAAAAAATAAAGACCATTTCCATGATATTCAAATTTTTTTTAGATGCACCTGTGTTTACTATAATATCTCTCTTTTCTAATTTGAATGTACAGTTTTCTTCGTAATGATTTTAATCTCTTGTGATTATTTGTCTTTGTCCAGGTGCTTAGATTACATATGACAGAGAGGTCACTGAGCCACATGTTGAACCTGGTATGAGTGTCATATTTTACATCAGTTTTTGACTTTCTACTTGGCTTACAATACCTGTAAGTTCAAAATGTTTTGCTTTTGTTAAACCAGGCGCCCCAGAAAGTTTCACAAAAATCAGAAAATGGTTTCCGTGCCAGTGATGGTCACAGTAAGGTTAAAGAATGTAACGGCAGCCCTCTACTGACAGAATCAGTGCTACAAGATGTCAGAGATGATCTGCAGCTCCACTTAAGTCTGTCCACACTGCTTACTCTTACCATGATGCTTAGCGTCCCTTCCCTTATCCACTGGAGACACAATCTCAGGTAATCATCATTTAGAGTATAAATTCATTCGATTTATTTTCCTCTGCATTTCTCATGCAAGTTACTAAAGCACTGCAAGCAAGTTCTACAAGAGATCAACTGCCTGAGAGTGAAGAGAAAGTAATCTACATCCTCTAAGAGTGATTTTAATTTGCACATGTATGTGTCTTGTTAAGATATTGGGTTCATCTGGATCCTGACCCCTGCTGGCCTCACGTTGTACCCCTGCTCATCAGCTCTGTTCTGCTCATCAACTGTAACACAGATACCCTCCTGCGCAGGTTTGTGTGCATTTCTTACAAATGTATTCATGTTATTTATTTTACATCAATTCAAATAGTCATATTCATCAGTGGCACTCCTTAGAATGCCTAATATGGCCATATCAAAGAGCTTTTTTCATAATGTGGATATTTATGATGTTGCTCAATTGTAATTTGAAATCTTCATAAATATATAGTGAATATTATATTTAAATACATACAAACTGTTGTTGAAGTTTTAGGGTGGGTAAGATTTTTTTGTAATGTTTTTTGAGAAGTCTTTTATGCATTTATTTAATCAAAAATGCAGTAAAAACAGCAGTATTGTAAAATATTATTACAATCTAAAATAACTTGTCTATTTTAAAATTGTATTTATTGCTGTGACGGTGAAGCTGAATTTTCAGCTGCCATGACTCACATGATTCTTCAGAAATCATTCTGATATGCTGATTTGATGCTCAAGAAACATTTTTTAGCAATTTTGAAAACAGTTTTTGCTGCATTAATATTTTTGTTGAAACCGTGATGCTCAGGATTCTTTGATGGATAGAAAATGGAAATAGAAATATTTTATAACATTTATATTGCCTTAACTGTATATTTTGATTAATTGAATGCACCCTTGCTGAATAAAAGTATTAATAAAAAAACAAATAGTGACTTCCAGAAACGTTTGAGCAGTAGTGATGCCTGGAAGTCTGTTGTCACAAGTTCTAACAGTGCTGTATGTCTGTATTTATACTTGTATTACAGCAGACTGATGCTGAATCTGACGCTTCATCTGCTGTTGCCGCTGTGTGTGGGAATGCTGGCTTTTTGTCCGCTGCACATTTACAGAGTCACTTATTTCCTGTCTGCAGCTCTGACCCTCTTGGTCTGTTCTTGCTACTTTTGACCTCCCGATGAACTTTAAACGTGAGTCTGCACTGAGATTAAAACAAGACCTGGGCTTTGTATCAATTCAGAGCAGATTAGACCAAAACCGCCTTAGAACCCTTTGTGTGTTCAGTGGGATCACATGGACTAGTGACATCAGTGGACCAGCACATCCGGAGTCATGTGACATGTCGTTTATCATCATTTGTAGCTTCTGTACAGGGTATTATACTTGTTAATGGTGGTATGTCTGTATTCATGAGCAATACCTCTTGTTCGTAAGGCTAGTTTCCCAGACACATTAAGCCTCGGCCTGAAGACTGTATTTAATCAGCGTGTGAGAAACTAGCCTGTACTGGTGTGTGTGTGTGTTGTGCTGTGAGATTGTATATGTCTGATTTAGTATTAATTTGTCAACCTGAAGTCATAATTGATAGGGATACACAATATATCAGTACCATTTCAGTTGTCAGTGGATATGAGAGGTTTTTAAAATATTTATTTATTAATTTATCGGTATCCGGTATTTCTCTTTCTTTATATTGCGCATTATAATTTCAGGATGCCTAAAATTCATTTGTAGAATTTCAGTTTTTAGTCAGTTATTTTGAGCGAATTCATAAAAATTGTATATCGTTTTAATATCAGCCATGTTATGGTTATCGGCCATAACACTTATTATTTATCCAGAATTTTAAAAATGGTGCGCTATCAACTGACCCCGTTTACTTTCTGGTCTTGTGCATGACTTATCAGTGCATGTTATTCCAAAGATTTTTTCTGGTTATTATTATTATTTCTGATTAAATACTGAGAAATGGAGCAGTAAGAACACCATCTACATTTGCTCCAATCCAGAATCAGCCATGTTATGGTTATCGGCCATAACACTTATTATTTATCCATATAAGCCAGAATTTTAAAAATGGTGCGTTATCAACTGACCCCGTTTACTTTCTGGTCTTGTGCATGACTTATCAGTGCATGTTATTCCAAAGATTTTTTCTGGTTATTATTATTATTTCTGATTAAATACTGAGAAATGGAGCAGTAAGAACACCATCTACATTTGCTCCAATCCAGCTACATGTTCATTATTTTATTTTACGTATTGATTCAAATCATTGTGGTGTGGATAGTGACTGAATAATCCATGGTTTCATAGTAAATGCATTGTAAAACCATTGGGAACTGTTCTGTTTGCTTAACCTAATGTTGTCACTTTCAAACAAGGCTTTTCTTTTTTCTGTTGACTGTTTTATTGACTGAAGCCTTTGCTTCAGTTCTGATTCACAGTATCAACAATTTTTAATCACATTACAGAATTATTTAACTATTTTGTAGTTGAAAAGCTGCAAAAAAAGGCTTTAGCAATTAATTCCAGCCACCGCTAGTATAATATCCAATCAATCTTTGCAGATCTTGCAAAAAAAATTGTGTATCATATACACATCTAACATGTCACATTACAGAAGTAAAATGGGTTGGCAATGCATTTTCATGTTGACTTTAAAGGATGTAAAAGCAGCTTTAGGTGTTTGTTCAGCTTTTCTGCAATTCACATGTCTGTGTTGTGAGTGTGACTGGATCTCTTTGCCTGTTCTATCTTCGATCTGTCATTTCTGCCTTAAGACATTTAGCTTTGAATGCACATGCCTGTAGGTGCTGGAGTACCTCTGTGTTAGACAGATCACTTCTTATTAACACCCCTTTGCATTAGCCCAAGCTGTAAGGCGAGTCTTAGTAGCATAACATTCCGTCTGGAGGTGTTATCTCGAGTTTTGCAAGGTGCGATCGCAAAACTGGACTGACAAGCAATATGATCATTCATTTTATATCGGTGTGCACAATTTGTGGTGTTGAAAAGACATCACAGTAACTTTTTTGGTTATAGCGTCTCTTATAACCTGAGACAAATTGTTCGAAACACTGCCACAGTCACAGTAGCCATGAGATTGTTGTTTTTTTCCCTGTAATGTTTGATGAATGCTGTTGATGGTCCGTCTGTGTTCCTCACACATTGCTCACGCAGCATCCATCTGATCTGTCATCATTTGATCTGCTCGTGACGGCTGATTCAGGATCGCTTACCTGAGAGCTGAAATTATACGTTGTCATCCTGAATCAAATGAGAGAACGGTGCCTTTCTTGTAATATGCCCCTGCTTCTCTGATACCCATTCACAATTTATCCTTCTCTTCATTGAGGACGGATGTTTGTCAGTCCATCCAAGTAGTCTGTATTTAAATCAGACATCCTCCTCTCACAGGATGTACTTGACCAAAAACACTCATATGGCACAAAATTGTGTCTTCTGCACTGTGAATGTACCTGAATGTGTGTGTGTGTGTTTGAATCATTTTGCAGTGAGCTTTGATGTTTGTTGTGCTCTGCCTCATGCTAAATTTGAGCTGTTTTTGTGGTGAAAGTGTGAAAGGCTGCCTTTTTTCTATCAATATGATTGTGACTTATTGTTTTAATTGGTGTTCACTGTGATGTGCCACAATATTTGGAGGCCAGGATCTGATTATATGTCTCAAAGCAAGAACTGCTAATTCAGGGCCAGATCTGTCCTGATTATGTAACAATGAAGCCAAACGGATCCAACAGCAACTCTTTAACAGTGCAGCAATGACAGCAGTGTTTGTATTGATGCTAGTAAGGCTTCTTCTGTGGAAATGTTATGAAGAATTTGCTCATTTTGTTTAATAGAGACTGTTGTTGTGATGTGGTTACTAGCTCTGCTGTATAGAGCTAAATATTAATAGTAAAGACCCTAGAGGT